ATTCAGGTCTTCTGCCCATTTTTGATCGGGTTGTTTGCTTTTTTGATATTGAGTTGTATAAGCTGTTTATATATGTTGCATACTAACCCCTTATCGGTCTTATCATTCGCAAATATTTTCTTCCATTGAGTAGATTTGCTTTTCATTTTGTCAGTGGTTTCCTTTGCTGTGCAAAGTTTTTGAGTTTAATTAGATCCCATTTGTTTATTTTTGCTTTAATTTATTTTGCCTTGGGAGACTGATCTAAGAAAATTATTACTACAATTTATGTCTGAGAATGTTTTTTCCTATATTCTCTTCTAGGAGTTTTATGACATCATGTCTTAAATTTAGGTTTTAAATCATTTTGAATTTATTTTTGTATATGCTTTGTGAGACTGTTCTAATTTTATTGATTTACATGTAGCTGTCCAGTTTTCCCAACACTACTTGCTGAAGAGACTGTCTTTTCTCCATTGTATATTCTTGCCTATTTTATCATAGATTAATTGACCATAGGTGTATGGGTTTTTTCCTGGGCTCTATGTTCTGTTCTGCTGGTCTATATGTCTGTTTTTGTGCCAATACCATGCTGTTTTGATTAATGTAGCTTTGTAGTATATAAAATTATGCCTCCAGCTTTGTTCTTCTTCCTCAGGACTGCTTTGGCAATTCTGGATCTTTTGTGCTTCCATATAAATTTCAGGATGATTTGTTCTATTTCTGTGAAAAATGTCATGGGTCTTTTGATAGAGGTTGTATTAAATCTAGATTTCTTTGAATAGTATGGCCATTGTAACTATATTAAATCTTCCAGTCATGATCATGGTCTATCTTTTTATTTCTCTGAATCTTCAGTTTCCTTTGTCATGTTCTATAGTTTTCAGCATATAGGTCTTTAACTTCCTTGGTTAATTTTATTCCTAGGTTTTTGTTTTGTTTTTTTTTACATGATTTTAAACAGGATTTTTTAAAACTTTCTCTTTCTGGTACTTCACTGTTAGTGTAAAGAAATGCAACAGATTTCTGTATATTAATCTTGTATCCTTCCACCTTGCTGGATTCATCTATTAGTTCTAACAGATTTTGTGAGACTTTAGGGTTCTCTATATAGAGTATCATGTTATCTGCAAAGAGTGGCAGTTTTATCTCCTTCCTTCAGATATGGATACATTTTATTTCTTTTTCTTGTCTAATTGCTGTGACTAGGACATCCAATACTATATTGAATAGAAATGGTAATAGTGGGCATCCTTGTCTTGTCTCTGAATTGAGTGGGAAGGCTTTCAGCTTTTCACCACGGAGTATTATGTTGGCTGTGGGTTTGTCGTAAATGGCTTTTCTTGTGTTAAGATATGTGCCCTCTATACCCACTTTGATAGGAGTTTTTATCATAAATGGGTGTTGAATTTTATCAGATATGTTTTCTGTGTCTATTGAGATGATCATGTGGTTTTTGTCTTTTCTTTTGTTGATGTCATATGTCACATTGATTGATTTGTATATGTTGAACCATCCATGCAATCCTGGAATGAGTCCAACTTGATTATGGTGTATGATCCTTTTTATATATTTTTGGATTTGATTTTCTAATATTTTGTTGTGGATTTTTGCATCTATATTCATCAAAGATGTTGGCTGAAATTTTATTTCTTTGTAGTGTCTTTGTCTCTATTTTGTATCAGGGTGATGGTGGCTCCATAGAATGACTTTGGGAGTGTTCTTTCCTCTTCAATTTTTTGAAACAGTTTGAGGAGTGTATGTGTTAACCAAATATTTGGTAGAATTTACCTGTGAAGTTGTCTAGTCCTGGACTTTGGAAAACACTGTTCAGAGTTAATGGCTTTTATAAAAAGTATTGTAGGAGAGTTGTATGGGGGTTGAGAGGGAAACATCAAGTGTCTTTATTTTCAAGAGGCACCCAGATTGTTTTGATGCAGATTCAAGATATACTGTTCACTGAGTTTCCTAGGAGAAGGCATAGGAGCTGCACTTGCTTCCAAAGAGAAGAAAAGATGTGTTGGAGGAGGGTAGATTTGGAGAAGAGAGGGTGCTGGCCTGGCAACCTGGAGGACAGAAGCAGCCAGGGGGGCACCACAGACTAAAGGGAGACCTGTGGCTGGCAGAGAGCTGTCCTGGATTGACTCCTTATTTGTATCAGGACCCTGACTTGCTGCCACACTGTGTGTGTGGGAGGAGCAGGGAGACAGTGTTGGTCTCAGTTAACTTCTTGAAACCAGCATGAAGTCTGCCCTCCTCCTGGTATCCCTAATGCGAACGTGGACACAGGGACAATCAAAAGCAAGGGTGGTGGTGGCAACAGTGACTCTGAAGCGGGCCTGAAAGTGCTGGAGTGGCAAGGTGGTGGCCAGCTCCATGGCAGGCACTCAGCAGGCTCAGAGGGCACTGGAAGTACTGGGCAGCTCTTGGCTATAGTGGCTAAAACAGCTACTCAACTTGTAGGTCTCTTAGGACCTAACTGTGGGAAAAGGCCGGATTGGTTTCCATGGAGAAAGTTTAAGGAAACTATCTGTTCAGAAAGTTTCTCGATTCTTTCCTTATGTGAGGATGGCTGGGAAAGGCTGGTCTGGAGAAATGATTCACTGGACTGGGAGCCCCAGCAGCCAGATTCTCTCCACACGTGTCCCACAGACTAGCGGTGGCAGTGTGGTCAAGTTGTCTCTGGGGGCCGGTTTTACGTATCTATAAACTGATTCTCAGGGAGTGACGTGTGAGATGGAGTATGCCCGTGACGGACTCCTAGAGAGCAGTGTGTTCATTACATGGAGTATAAACACTTAGAGCATCACTAACCTATAGGAAATAATTGTTTTCCTTGTCAGGATTCAGAGAAGATGTGCATTGAAATTGTCTCCCTGGCCTTCTACCCTGAGGCTGAAGTGATGTGTGATGAGAGCATAAAACAGGTGTACGTGGAGTACAGGTTCTACGACCTGCCCTTGTCGGAGACAGAGACTCCGGTGTCGCTGCGGAAGCCGAGGGCAGGAGAAGAGATCCACTTCCACTTCAGCAAGGGTGAGGCCGCCCTGGGACCGCCGGGGCTGGGGGGACTCTGACAGCCGTTCAGTCTGAGGGGCTCAAGCTACTTTGGACTTCTGTTGGGTCCTGCCTTTTCATTTTCTTTTATTTGTCCAAGTAGTATGTGCGTATGGTTTAAAAATATCAAAAAGGCCTGAAAAGATTATGGATAAAATTAGGCAGGCCTTTGCTCCATGCATTCTCTGCAGATCACTCCCCTTCACCCCTCCCTGCCCCCCTTAGCCCACTACACCATTTTTCATTTTTTCTACTTTTTCTCCTGTTATTTAACCCCGTAATTTCAGAGATATATTTCTGTTGTGGTTTCCTGACTCACTAATTTTGAACATTATCGGCTGACTTCCTACCTTGGCACATAAAATTTCTCTCACACCATACCCATGTCCCCTTCCTCCCATATAATTTTTAGTTTTATTTAATTCTTAATTAATCTTAATTGTTCCTATGATTATGGACATGTAACTATTAATGCATGAGAGCCAAGTAGTGTACCATGATTATAATTTCTTTCTTGCTTATTATTTTGTCTGTCTCAATTTTGCATTTGCTTTGTTTTCATTATACCTTCTATCATTCTTTGCACATCCTCCAACAGCTTTTCCAAATTTTCAAATAATCAAACCTGTCAAATAACTTGTCTATTTTTTTCCTGAAAACCTCTCTTCATCTCCCTGTTCCTCTCTAGCCCACTGTTCAGCTATTACCCCACTACTGCTATTTGGAGGATTTGATTTAATTCTCTCTTGTAATGGATTTCCTGTCTCCTGGGTCCTGGGTCACTCTCTGATTTATTTTATTTTAATTGATCATATTTTCCAGTAGCTTTAAATTATTTATTTATTTATTTAAATTGAAGTATAGTTGATTTACAAAGTTGTTAGTTTCTGGTGTACAGCAAAGTGATTCAGATATATATATATATGTGTGTGTATATTTTTTCTTTTTTACATCCTTTTCCATTATAGTTTTTTACACGATATTAAATATAGTTCCCTGTGCTATACAATGAGATCTTGTTGCTTATCTATTTTATTCCAGTAGCTTTAAAAGAAAGAATATATTGGAAGTAAATCTTTTGAGACAGTCATGCATGAAATCTCTTTATTCTATCCATATGTTTGATTGATAATTAGACCAAGTATAGTATAGAAATCTATGTTGAAAACATTTTCATTCAGAATTTCAAAGCAGTTGGTCCATGGTCTTCTAGCTCCAGGCCTGGAGTCTAACCCTTGTATGAAAACTACCCCGTATGTCCCCAGAAGACTTTAACATTTTCTCTTTATTTTTAGTGTCCTTAAATTTAACAATAATGTGCGTATATTTTCTTTAATTGCTTTGGCCATTCAGTGGGCTCTTTCAGTCTAGAAGATCATGGCTTTTCGTTTTGGAAAATTTTATTGCATTTCTTTGATAATTTTGTCTCCTCCATTTTCTCATTTTCTTAGTAGAATTTTGGATCTTCCAAATTGATCCTCTGAGTTTATCATTTTTCTCCTATAATTCTACTTTTGTTTTTTCTTTGTTTTAGGGGAGATTTCCTTAATTTTATCTTCTAGTCATTGGTTGATATTTATTTGAAATTTCTAAAAGCTGTTTTCTTGTTCTCTATCCACCCTCCCCCTGCCTTTTAAAAAGTATACCCTGTCCTTATCTCCTACAAGGTGGAAGCTTATTTCTCCCCTGTATCAAATGAGTTCAGAGGTGGGCAGTCCAGGGCGGAGGCTCCGTGCGTGGTACCATCAGGGCTCCAAACTCCTGTCTTGCCCTCCTATCCCCCTGGTGTCTGTCTTCCAGTCTTCCATCCTTTCACAGTTATCCCCTCTCCCTTCCTGCTGCCCGGTCCTTAATCGCAGATTTCACACAACGTAGTGGCCAGAACTCAATCATGTGGCCTCACCTGGGTAAAACAGAGGCTGGAAAACATAGGCTAACTTACTTAAGGCTGCAACATTCCATAAAAAAATGAGGAAGAGGAGCGGAATGGATGTTGAGACAGGCACCTTGAGTTGAACCTACCTCAAAACCCAGAGCTCCAGGTGGCCCTGAGAAAACGTAAGTCTTCTAGAATTCTTCCACCTGGGGAGTGGCGGGAGTTCCGCCTCAGCATTTGGCAGAGCAGCTTTCAGTGCAGATGGTAAGGCTTCCCTTGTCTCAGGGGTTGAGGCATTTTCCTGAAAGGCCACATAGTAAATATTTTAGGCTTTGGGGCCGAGCAGTTAGAACTATTCAACTCTTCTACGACAATTATTCAGCTCTCTCGCTGCAGTCGGAAAGCCGCCATAGGAAACGTGTAGACTGACGGGTGAGACTCTGTTCAATAAAATTAATGGAAACAGGCTGCCAGCTCATGGGCCCCGTTTGCCAGCCTCTGCTTCCCAGCACTGGGAAGCCATTTATGAAAGTCTTAGTGCCCAAATAGCAACAGTGTATGATGCTTTGCTTTTCTTCCCTCTTACGCTTAACTCAGTGATAGACCTGGACCCGCTGGAGCAGAAAGGCCGCCGGCAGTTTCTGTTCGCCGTGCTGACTGGACAGGACCCTGAGCGAGGACAGTAAGCACCTGCCTGCCACCGCGAAAGCCGGGAGGCGCGCACACGGGACTGCAGCAGTTTCAGTTTGCTTTGGGGCTGATACGGAATATTTTAACAACTTCTTTCACGTGAATACACTCACAGTGAACTTCCCATCTACTTGAGTCTAATTTTTTTTTTTTGCTACGAAAGTAGTTTTATTGCCTCCTGGAAAGTACATAAAATATTTACATGTGTGTAGTAACAAAACATGCTACTATGTGCTTTGGTTTCTTTTCTAATACAATCGTCATGCTTATCAGTATGATGAGTCAAATGATATGTCAAAATTCACAATTATTTCATCTATTTTAGTCACAGAGTAATGAGAAGAGAAAACTTCAAAAAATTAGAATGGCCTGAATGGCCTGCAATTTTGCAAAAAGAACTTATATACAAATAAAGTCTTATTCAAACCTTTTAGCTATTTACTATACTCATAATTGTAACTGTACTAGAAGAGTATGAACAAGGAGAAGTTCTGTTTTGCGGAGCATAGACCATTTTGGAAGATACCAGAAAATTATACAACAGGCCAACATTAACTAATTAGAACTAAAAACATCAACCTAATTCTTTTAAAAAATATTTTTTTAATTTAAGTTCAGTCTGTTACAATGTGTACACTTTCTGGTGTACAGCACAGTGTTTTAGTCTTACATATATATATTCGTTTTCATGTTCTTTTTCATTATAGGTTACTATAAGATACTGAATAGAGTTCCCTGTGTACTTGAGTCTGATTTATATTTGTGACTGACTACCTGATAGATTGTATCATCTCATCGGTCTGGTTCATTTCTCACCCATGCCAGCCCCTGATAAGTGCTTTTTGAGGCAGCAGTTGACTTGAGTACTGCCAGTGCCCCATATAGAACAGACAAAATGCCTTGACAGCCTAAGACAGTTGGATTCATTTCTCACAAACATAGTACCATTGCTCCCTTACCAAGTATTATGCCTTTATATTTACATATCTAATATTTTGATTTAAAAATTCTTTCTCTACAGGAATACTTCACCTTTGCTATAACTGAAGTAAATCCACAGTCTAAGTTTTAGGAAAGCCATTTGTTATTATTCCTGTGACCTGAGGAGCCCTCCTTGTAGAGGCTCCAGATGAAATGCATGGGATATACTTAAGACTAGAAAAAATTACTCATTGCTTAGCTGTAATTTGAAGATCAAGTTTAAGTGGGCATCTGGTTGGTTGGTTGATTTTTGGCAAAATCTGGTAACCCTACCTCCTTTGTGTGTGGGGGGGTAACAGACATGATGGGGCTTGTGTTCTAATCCATTACTTTTCTAAAAGTCCCACAAATTTGCTTAGTTTGCATTTACTTTGTCTCTAGTCAAAGGAAAAGGAGCCAGCTGAAATAAACAGTGAATCTGACTCCAGTATCACTGTGGACCTAAACAGATAGAAGCTTAGTGATAACTTTGGAAATGGAAAGTGATTTTGTTGTTTCCCTTCTGCATTAATGTTAAATTTAGCATTTTCCCCTTTTTTTTCTCTCTCAACACTGCCAGAACTCTCTCTTCCTTTATTCTTTCATAGTGATAATCTTTTTTGTTTCTTCTTGTAATCTACTCAGTTTCAGATTTCAGTTGATTTTACCTTTGATTTTCTTTTTACCAGTATGATAGAGTGGACAGAACATTGCCTTTGCAATCACACACATCTGGTTTTGCGTCCGGACTCTTCCACTTACTAGCTCTGTGATCTTTGAGATCTCACTTAACTTGAAGGCGCCTGTGAAGATAAAACTGAAATAACATAGTGCTGTGCCTGGAGCACTGGGTGCTGTGCCCAGCGTGCGGTGATGCTGGTTACCATTCCTTTCCTGGGGAAACTGGGGTGGACGAGTCAGCGTTTTCCCTTTGCTTTGCTGACGTTCTCAGTAATCATACAGAAACATCACCATGGATGAATGTTACTTAATGGCTATGAGTGTGTCACTTTCAGGATTTCTTCTTGTCAGTCTCATCGTGTTTAGCTGTGATTTTAAACACTTGACCTTTTAATCCTATTCTTGCTCCCTTAGCGCTCTCTACTAGCCACTGATATTTGCTTTTAAAAAATTAATAGGAATATGAAATGTTCAGAAGAGGCAAATCCATAGAGACAGAAAGTTGACTAGTGGTCACCAGGAGCTGAGGGAGAGAAGAATGGGGAGTGGCTGCTTAATGGGTTTAGGATTTCTTTTTCTGGTGATGAGCATGATCTGGAATTAGATAGTGGTTGATGGTTGCACAACATTGTGATTATACTAAAAAACCCTACTGAATTGTATATTTTATAATGGAGAGAATAATGAAGTTATGTTATGTAAATTTTACCTAAAAAAATTTAATAGGTACCAGTTTCTGTTTCTATCATTCTTTGCTAGACTAAGTTAAGGTAATAATATAGTCGACTTTCTGTATCTGCAAGTTCCACATCCATGGATTCAACTAACAGTGGATCAAAACTTTCTGGAAAAAAAAAAAATCCAGAAGGTTCCAAAAAGAAAATTCCAGAAAGTTCCAAAAAGCAAAACTTTAATTTGCCATGCACTGACAACTATTTTTGTAATGTTTACATTATATTTATAACTATTTACATAGCATTTACATTGTATTAGGTGTTATAAGTAATCTAGAGATGATTTAAAGTATACCGTATATGCAGGTACTACACCATTTTATATAAGGGACTTGAGCATCGCGAGTGGGGTCCTGAAGTTGCTGTCAACTGTTCACTGGGAGTAACTGTGCTGTGTTGTTTATAGTATCATCTACCAAGACCTACAGCTATAATACATTTTCTATATTCACTTTGCAATTCTGTATTCCTTCTGTTTCCTTTACTCTGCTCAGGCCTGCTACAAGCTTTTAAAGAAAGAAACTATTATTTAGAAATCTAAAATCTCTTCTAACTTCTCCTATAACCTTGGTTTTTGTGCAACACCTCCACTGCCCCTATCAAATCTTTCATCAAAATTGTAAACCATTTTAAAAGGAATTTTCTCTCAACAGTTTTGAGGCAGTGTAATCAGCTACACCATCTCAAGGCTTATTTCCCTCAAGGCTTATTGTTACCTTAAATTATACCGATTCCTCACTTTTGCTGTTGCAGTCTTATAAAATGGAGGAAAGGGGAAAAGAGATTCGGGGAAGACAATGTGTAATTTATGATTACTTTTATCCTTTTGTTGTTGTTGATAGCCCAAAGGTATCAGCAATACTGAGTTAAATGGATTTTTCTCCCCTTCAGTTTGAGGTTTACAGTGGTAAGCGATCCTATGGCTGAGGAAGAGAAAGAGTGTCAAGAAGTAGGATACGCGTTCCTGGAACTGTGGCCGGTCATGGACTCCGGAAGGGACATTCTAGAGCGAGAGCTCGACGGTGGGTAGCACAGTTTTGTGCTTCTCACTCTCACTTATTCCTAAGGGAGTCACCCCAGTAGTACTTTCCCTGTTACACCTTTACTACGTAATTAACAGCTGTGAAGCTGACGGGGTTCCCAGTGGGTGGAAATCTCCTACAGCTAGTTATTTCTAGATCTACCGTCAATGTAGTCAGTTGTATATTTTAGCCCATATACCTTATGACAACTAGAATCTGTTATGAATCTCTGGTGTTTAAGATAGGGAAATTTTGAAGACACACTTCTAAAATTTTAATCAAATTGAAACATCAGAATTTCTGACCTCTCCTAAGCATGTAAGGTTTGGAAAGGCAACTAATACTCTTTCTCTTTTAATGCGTCTTCATGCACCCAGTCTCTTAAGTAGACACCAACTCTCCCCTTCCCTCACGTCTCACAATGTTGTTACTAAAGCTTGCCCCTCCTATTGCAGAAGCGTCTTGGACTCCATCCCCACTACCCTTACGGTTTCCTAAACTGGTGTCCTGTCCCGGGTTTCTTCCTCCTCGTTTCCATCTACTAGTATTTCTGTACAGTTGTGACCACCGCGTTCTTCTTTACATCTGTCTTGAAGATTGTTTGTTATAAGACCAGGATATTTTTTAAATATTTGCATTTGAGCATTTGCGTGCAGTCCTGTGCTCCCTCGCCTCACACACCTGGGACTTAGCTCATCTGGCTGGCCTGCTAGGCTGCCGCGGGCGTTTAACGTTGCCCACTAGACCGACGGTTTTCACATTTCCAGTCACGACCCACTGGTGGATGGTGACATTAGAGGAGTAAATCACAACCAGAATTTGAAGAAAACAAACAAACCAAAACTGTAGGAAATTGCAGAGTACACTGCATATAAGGTAAATGTTTTGTGAATCACGTGTACATGTTTATTGAGTCATGATATAAAACTGTTTTCACTGATCATAATAAAAAATGTTTGATGAGTACTTCTTAGACCAAGGGTTACAAAGTTCAAACTTCAGCTGGTAGAAAAGACTATATCCTTCTAGTACCTACCAACTGTGATGTTGGGCAAGCTATTTAACCTCTCTGTACCTGTGTCCTCAACTATAAAATGAGAATATCAGCAGATCCTACCTCACAGGGTTGTCATAAGGATTAAGGGACGATTAAGTAAAATGCTTAAGGACAGTGCTCGGGGCACGTGGCAAGTGCCGTCTGTTGGCTTTTTCCCAGCTCTCCCAATTTCTGTCCGTCCCTGCTCCCTAAACACGCCACGCTCTTCCTGACCCCCGTGCCCCTTGCACGTGAGGACACCCACCTTAAGCCTTTTCTGATGACCTCACAATCCCTGAAGCCAATGAATGCGTCCTTTGAGTTTTTTTTTAAATCATCGAGAGAAAAATTTGTAGTAATTTCCTTATGGCCTCCTTCCACTCAGGCTTTAAACATGTTGGTCTGAATTAAAACAAAAGCAAACAAACAAAAACTCTGCATTCTCACCCTGCAGCTCCCTTCTCTCATCATTTCAGGACTCAGCTCCTTGAAATATTGCTGCATGGCCGTTCACTCCACAGCACTTATTTTGGGCCTCCTGTACTCTTCAATTAAGATCGAATTTCCATCGAAGCACTTAAAGTTTGTTCTTACAACTTTGTACGTTGTGTTTCCTCTTACCCACCATCCAGAATGGTCCTCCTTGACTCTGATTTCTTCACTGCCAAGATTTCATCACAAAATTCCGTTGGTTTTACCTCTTAAATGTTCAGAATCTGTCCCCACCGCCATTGTCCTACTTGAGAACCCTTCCTCTCTCTCCTGAATTACTGTGACAGCCTCTTAACCTACCTTCCTAATCTACTTGTGCCTTCAAACGTACTCTCCAAAGAATGGTTTTCTAGAATCCAAATAAAAACTGCCATTTTAATCCCTTCAGTTAAAACCAAGTTCCTTAGAAGGCAAATGGCCTGATAAGATCTCGCCCCTGCTTACCAGTACAGCTTCACTTCCACTGTTTCCTGCAGCTTTCCCGACTTGCCCTCATTTTGGCATGCGCTTTCCTGCTGAGAATACCTTTAGCTTTTGAAGACTGAGGGACTGTAGGTGCCACTTGCGCGTGTTCCCAAAGCACCCCGAGTTTTCATCACAGCACCCACCATACTGCACTAAAATGACCACGTTGTCCTATGGCTTCCACCAGATTTGAGTCCCACTAAAAAATGAGGTAGTAACTTGGTTTATTTAGCATCCCCAGTACCTGACATGGAAAACACCAGGTAGTTAAGTGTTTTTTAATTGCAAGACGCTGCTGTCTGACATGTTTCTCTTTCTTTTCCCAACAGTTGTTAGCCCCGAAGACCAGAGCACCCCAATAGGAAGGCTGAAGGTGTCCCTTCAAGCGGCCGCCGCCCTCCAGGCCATTTACAAGGAGATGACTGGAGATTTGTTTTCGTGATGGAACAAGTGCTATTCCATTTCTAGACTGAGGGAACCATAATAAAAAGTCTCTTATAAAGTAACTTGCTATACCCTTAACTTGGTTTACTGTGATGTCTAGTAGCGCTCGACTTAACGATGAAAGCTTAGAATCATGAAAGTTTCTTTTTTTGTGATCCTAGCTGGATAAGGGGATTATTCTCTGACGCTTTAGCGCTCTACCAGGCGAGAAGCAGGCTTGCTGTTAGACTGCAAAGGAACTGTCACAAAAGGTAATTTACAAAAACAAAACAACAACAAAAAAACCCCACAGTTTATTTATCTTTTAGTTCTTCCAAAATTGAAAATATCAAGTCCTACTGCTAAGGAGAAAAAAACAAACAAACAAAATCTGAAACCCCTCCCCCCCTTCTCTTAAAGTCACAGAACACAGAAGGAACTGCAGGGGGACAGGTGGGTACAGAGAACCAGGAGGGAGAGGATGGCAAGATAAACTCCCCAAATACTTAAAAAGCTGTTCAACAGAAATGTGATAAATACAGGACAATGCAAGACAAGTAAAAATAAGGAGCAGCAGTGACGAGAGGCTGTGTTGTAGCTGTGGCCTCCCTTCCTCTTCTCTTCTCACCGGCTTATTCTAGGCCCAAGGCATGACTTGCCTCTTCCAGATCTAAATGTTGACTCCTTTGAGCCTCCTAGATTTCACTAGAAGCAGTAATGAGGCACCACCACTCTTCCTCAGACATATCAGAAAAGAAACAGTGGTAATTTTGCTTCTACCATTGTACCATGTGTGAAATTTGTAAGGAAGATGAAACCGAACCAGGGAGCATCACTGCTGCTTATGCCTTCCAAGGCAGCGGGTACACCTCAGGAACTGCACGAGGCAAGAGAGCAGGAAAACTCAGACGGAGGTCCCAGCCCGATCAGCCTCACTAGCTCGAGTTGCATGGTTTATCACACCATTAGCAAATTCCAAGAACCTTTTCTTGAGTACTGCAAAAAGGGAACTTAGAGAGATGTGAGGAAGGTCATGGCAGGAGGGAAGGATGGAGGATCAAATCTGCTGGTCAAGAACCATGGTACGGGTACTTAAGGGTCACCGTGTACCAATGTCTTGGAAATAGAGCTTTGAGACATCGAAAGACAAGATGTCGGAAGCCAATGATGTCCTGGCAGAAGGTGACAGGAAGAGAGAGGAATGAAACGGTATTAACAGCGGAAGCCTCTGCCCTTCTTCAAGAACACCTCCTCCCTTGCCATCTGGATGGGGCCATTGGCACGTGTCCTGGTGGGCCTGGAATTCCCCGAGTAGATTGGTCCACACAAATGGCCCCCTAAACCCATAAACACATATGGCCAAACTTCAAAAGGAAAAAAGGAAAAATACAGTTTCTATGTCATGTAAAATTTTCAGGGATTGGCTGGAGGAAGAATGGAGCTGAGAGCCAAAGTTCAGAAGTTACTTCCTCTTTTTCTTGGGAGGTGCAGAGCTGTGTCTGGAACCTCGGTTAGAGCCTCGGCCTGAACTGTGCACGGACGCCTTCCTCTTCCGGCTCATACTTCGACTCTGTTCCTCTTCTTCCTCGTAACGACTTTCACGGTCGGCTAAACAGAGAGCGGCGCTGTCAGCTGGAGGTTAGCTTTAGGTCCCTAGTACTAAACAGCATGAAACAACACAGACACTGTACCTTGAGGTCAGACTTAAGTTTTAATCTTTACTCGGTTGCTTACCAGTTGTGTCATCTTGGGCAAGCAGTTAACCTTTCTGAGCCTTGTGGAAAATTGTTTTAGGGTTAAATAAGGTAATCTATGCAAAGTACCCATCTTGATGCTTGGGATACAGCACAGTGGTATTTCCTTTTCATCTTTTAACTTACACTTGGCATTTGGTTTCAGAGTAACTAAAACTAGTACTACAAAAACATTCCTAACTCGGAAGAGGCCCAGAAAGTTAGGCTATTACAGGACTTAGGTTGGGAAACTTAATAGCCTAGTTTTGGAGCCTCACAAGATTATCATGGCTAAGGGCACACCAAGGGCTTGAGCAGATGAAAAAAGCACCCAAGCTGGCCGAGTCACGCCACGTGGGGAATACGGAACATTCCAGACCTCATTTCTCCTTTGGTTGATGAAGTTGTAGCTGTGGTTCCATACCAGTTTTACATTGTTCTCGTGTTACTCTTACTAGGCACATAGTTTCTTGAAATAATGAAATTTGTGCTTCAAAAAAGATAAAACAACAAAAATTTACCTTTTCGGGCTTCTTCCTCCAGTTCATCCCAATCCTTTCCACTCTCCTCTTCACTGCCCAATGATTCCTTGGAATAATCTGGAGTAAAATTAAGCATTAGTTATTAGACAGGCATGGAAATGGAATAAAATTTTTCCCTTCTACAAGCCTCCAAAAATGACATGAGGTTAAGAAGTCGTGAACACTTTTCCCTATAAAGACTAACCTGATTCTTCAGCTTCTGATGAATAGTCTTCATCACTGTCCTCCTCCTCCTCTTCATAGTCATCTTCTGAAGGATTAAAAGTCTCATCTTCGATTTCAGACTCCGAATCCCCTTCCTCAGCATCACTCCCCTGGTGAGTCAGAGCATAATACTATAGACGGGGGGGGTTTGGCATTCACTACATTAACTTAATGAATTAATTCAACCCACTTAGCAAACCAGCATTATTTCTGTTTTATATGAAAAAATAAAACAACCAAAAACCTGAATGATCAAGAAATAAAAAGACTTAACTTAAAATTACTAGTAAGGGACAATAATCAATTAAATACCCTAGATATCTAACTCTTATTTCTTAAAGATTCACTTCATCATTTTTTCACCCAGGAAATCTAACCACAGAGATACGCTTGGTAACAATGCCTTATGCAGAGGTGGGAAGACCATTTTCCAGAAAACTGCTTTGCGAGATGACCTGAAGAATTTTTTTCCCAGTACTAAGAAACTAATTGAAGTTCTGAAGGAATTCCAAAGAGCTCTTGTCAGTGGCTACCCGATGCCCAATTAATTTATCATTTACCTGTCAAACTAACTTGTGAAACAACAATACCAAGCTGTGTCCAGGGCTTCTCCCATATGGTCTGGTCCCTTAGGTACTATTTGTCTGGCATTCTCCTGACCGCCCTTCAAATGACGACGGGCAGCACTGTGTACCAGAAAAGAAACCCCACACTCACGCACCTCACCCTCAGGCTCCAGGAAAGACCAGCCACCTTGTTCAAAGAAGCCCTCAGGGTCGTCGACAATGGTCTTCATGATTTTAGTCCAGTTGAGGGACTGTACTCCTTCTGTGTACTTCAGGTCACAAGAACTGAAAAAAATAACATTACAGAGTCAAAATCAATCCTCTCTGCTTTGAGAATATCCTGTGTCACCTAGGTCGTTCGCACCTCTGAAGAGCAGATAACCTTTTCATAGGTAGGAGCAGGTACTCTTTGCCCTAAGCCACCAGGACGTACCCAACCAGCCCTCATGACAAAGTAACCATTTTTTTTCTTTAGTACTTCAAACGCCCTATGTTAAGAAATGCTCAAATGACATTTGTCCACTTCTACTGAGGAGAACAGAATCAATCAAAGTGGGTGGGAAAAGAAAAAACCCCAAAACAACAAAGGATCACAAGAAACCTTCAGCATAAAACCTGTCTGAGCACGCGGCATGAATCCACTAGAGGCACTGTCAGATACATGCAGCTTCTGCCGCTAGCCGGGATGGAGTGACCAAGACTAGATTTACTTTTCCCCCTTAAACAACTAAAAAACTGAATAAAATATGAAACAAGTTTTCAAATATTGGATAAAAAGCAGCATAGGACCAAAACCCCTGTGGAACTATACAATGGAATGAACAGCTCTGGTAATGGTAAATATGTGAATAAATATAAAAGACCACCGCCCCATTTTGTAAATTAAAGGATAACTGTTTTGAAGCTGAAATAATGACACTTAACTGAGGAATTCATAGCATATTAGAAGTAAAATATATGATAACAGCAGAAAGGACAGAAGATAAACAGAAGCATAAGAATTTCCAATAGAGGTGGAACTTTATTTGAATACAGACTCAAAGTGCTAAGTTAAAGATGTGTATGTAAACCTCAGAACAATCATTATGAAAGTAAAATAAAGAGGCGTGGCTAATCAGCCAACTACGAAGATAATCAAGAAGATTCATAAAATTACTCTAAAAGAAAGCATAAAAAGAGGAGAAAAGCAACAGAGAACAGACGGGAAAACAAAGATGGGAGACTTAAACCCAGCCATACTGATAATTATATTAAATGTAAATGGTCTGTTCTCAGCAACCCAATTAAAAGGCAGACATTCTCAGAATGGATTAAAATGAGACCCAAATATATAGGGTCTCCAAGTAAGCCACTTTTGATAAACCTCTAGCCAACAAAAAGAAAGAAATGATCAGTTATTGGGAAGGAAAGGGGACATCAACATAGACTGCAGAAATAATAGATCGGTAACTTACAACTAGTTTGTTGAGGGACGCAAGCTGATTCTAGAATTCACGCAGAACAGCCAATATAATAATAGCCAACTTTGAAAAGGAACAAAATTGGAAGACTTACACTACCTGATTTCAAAATTTACTATAAAGCTATAATATTCATGACAGTGCATTACCAGTGTAAGGACACACATAAAACAATGGAACAGAGTGCAATCCAGAAATAGACCCCTCTCCTACATGGCTTTTTTTCTTTTTTAAAAAATAAAGATGCCAAGGTAATTCAATGGGTAAGGGATAATCTTTTCAACAAATGGTACTAGAATAATTGGCTACATACATGCAAAATGTGAACCTTGATCCTTACACCACAGTAAAATATTAGCTCAAAATTGATCAGACCTAAATATAAGACCTAAAGCTGTGGAACTCTAGAAGAAAACAGAGAACTTCTATGACTTTGGATTAGGCAAAATGTATTAGGTTAAGACATACAGAGCACAAATTACTAAAGAAAAAGTTGATCAAACACATTTCATGAAAAATCCATACTCTGTCTTTAAA